AGGCTTGTCACGTGGAGCTCATTAATGAGAAATGATCTTGTGCTTTGCGGCAAGACAAGGAAGACATGCAATCCGTTGGAGCTTCCCACGTGAATTTCAATTACAACTCAAGTAGCGATCCTGTGTGATGCGGGTAGGAATGTAAAGTGTGAGCTTGTGGGCTTTGGTGGCCATGTGGGCCTTTTGGGCTTGATCTTTTTTTTTTTTTTTTTAACATTAATGTTACTTTTTCCTCTTGATCATCTTAAAAATAATTTTTTAAAATAAATTCCCTAATAAATTTTTTAACGCCATTCAGGAAATTTCCTTAAAAAATTTTAAAATTTTTTAAATGACGCCACTTTTGACATTAATGTCAAATGTTTTACATTACTGTAAAATATCGTCTCTCGATCATTTAGGAAAAAAAAATTAAAAATTACATTTTAGATGACGTTTTTTTACATCCGATTTTTTTTTTTTTTTTACATCATACCTCATGCAAATTTTTCTAATTAAATGATTTAAATTATATTGAGAAATTTGTGGTACAAAAATGATAAGGGTTCGTTAGATTCAAAGATGGAATTTGGGTGGAAAGAAAATGAATTGTAGGGAATTGAATTGCCTAAAACTTGTTTGACTAGAAATTGTCAATTAATTGTGTTTGATTGGTATAATTTTTCACCTGAAAAATGTTGAAATTTTCTATCTTTTGGTGTTTGTTTGACTTTATTTTTCTTCAAAATTGTCAATTAAAGGAATATAATTTCTTACAATTGGGGATGTAATTTGTTTGGATTGCCAAAAAAAAAAAAAAAAGGAAAATTGTTGGCATTCGTTTGACTTTGTTTTATATGAAAATTGTCAATTAAATAGATATTATTTTATTTTATTTTTACAATTGGAGATAGAATTTGTTTCTATTACAAAAAGAAAAAAAAAGATGGGAAAAATCAAAAACCACTTAAAAGGTGGGAATTGAAATTCAACTAAAATCAAGAAAAGGGGTCACGTGATGGCAAATGTAGAAAACCAATTCTTGGAAAAAAGGTGACATCAAACAGGCCCTAAATATTAATAATTGAAAAAAATTAAAGAAAAAAAAGAGTTATACATCTCTTTTTAACACACTTGTTTGACGCATGTTTAACTATTTTCAATCTTCATTTATATCGTTTGATAAGTCTATGATTTAGTTTTCGAAATGAGTTTTAAGATGATGTAGGCAATTTATTGATTCGATTAGCGTATAATCGTCGAAATTTTTTTAAAATTAAAATATTGTCAAAGTTCTCTAAAATATTAGTTTGAAACAACATATTTTGATGTACTGTATCATTTGTTACGATTGATCGTTTCGTACATTGTTAACTAAGGCTTGATATACACTCAGTTTGACACCCCTCACACGGGGGTGGGACTCGTGATTTTTAACATTGCGGGCCCACCCCCCATGTGAGGGGACTGTCAAACTAGATGCACACCAAAGTGTACATCTAGCATTTCCCAAAGCTAGATCATCAGCACTTTGAAATGATATTAAAAATATAATATTTCGATTTCGTTTTACATCCTATAATGATCTCGAAAATTAAGACAAAAATATAAGAAATTTAATGAATTTATAAATATGCTTTCCTTTAAAACAAATGGTTGTTCATTTTCATTTCCCTCCTTTTTTCTATCATTTTTTCTTTCACCATTCACACTTCAACTTTTTTTAAATCCTTGTAAAACTTGTGAACCAAGGCCGATGCATATAGCTTTATTCATACGAAAACATAGGAGTGAACGGGATTGAAGTATTGAACCGATCGCAGGTTCATCCCGACTTGATCCATAAACAGTTTGAGCTCATTTTGAACCAAGTCTAGCACAATTTATTTTTTATAAGCCGAGTGAATTGGCTGGTCAAATTGCGAAGTGACTCGTGAGCTCTAACCCAAGAGCCAACTTGTCTTGAGCTCATGGGCAACAATTTTTATTTTATTATTATTATTATTATTATTATTATTATTATTATTTCTTTACCATTGGCTAGCAACCAAACGGTTATAAATATGACCGTTTGGTTGTCATCGGTCATCTTTTTCTTTTTCTTCTTCTTTTTTTCTTATTCTTTTTTTTTCCTGCCTTATCAATTACACTTGTTATAACCTCCATATTAGCTTTTTATTGTACAATCTAAAATTTTACTATATCCAAATTTACTTATGTAGTTATTTGAGTTATTTTTATCCAATTATAGTATAAATTCTATTATTCTACTTTTTTCTATATTATTTCAAATGTGAGTGCAACAATTGTACCTCTAAACATGAATACAAACCATACCTTTTAGGTCGATTATTGGTTTAAAAAAATTGCTGCATTCGTGGCCTCCGTAAAATTTTTTTGAAAGGTAAATTTGTTAAAGTCAATGATCAACCTAAAAACCCCGATTTGAATTCATATCTTGATATAGAATTGGTTCAAAGACGTCTTCTTTGTGACTCTTCGAACTTTGTGAAAATATATTCCATGTATGCATCTTGTATATAGAGTTTAATGTATTTATAGACTGAGAAATGCAAAGTTCCGGATCCAAGATAAAGTGGACAAATTAATCGCTAAAAATTTACAAAAATTGACTTCATAATTTGTAAGTGTTGTTTATGTTAAATTCGCTAGTTTTTTTTTTCTTTTAACTTTTTAGAAAAAAATATTCATGTAATATTTTATTCGTGTACAATTTTAATTTCATATATGTTAAAAGTAGTCGATTCCAAGTTCGAAAAAATGAGTTTCGATTTTTGATTCTCAATCTTCGAGCCACATGATCGAACCGAGCTCGTGTGCCTAAGGATTGAGTTTGGTCAAATCGACCCATTGCCCGTCTACAAAAAGCCTCAAGAGTTTTGGGAATTGAAATGAGAGCGTGTTGATATAACATTATTATGGGAATCGAGGAGCTTTACAATTTTTAGAATTGAAATCGAGGTCGGTTGACATGGCAATGATGTGGTGATTACATGGCAAGTAGTTCGACATAGTGACACTAGCAATATGGCAACAGTGGTGACTGTGTGTGACTAAACGTAAACACTAATATGATGTGGTGATTGGATTCGATCATTACATATATACCTTGAAAAGTAGTAAACCGCTTGGAAATGTGTGATCTTGAGAGTATCAAGATTTGAATAGCCAAGATAAAATTAGCTTTCGTTTGGTCTATATTTTTTAAAATTAATTATTTTTTTTCGAAATTATTTTTAACTATATATTTTTTTAATAAAATATTTTTACAGTAGACCCATATCATATTTCAACGTTTTTACCAAACAGCTGTAATTTATAATTGCTAAAAGACATTTGTATTAGGGATAATTGCAGCTACGGT